TGGATTTATGTTTCCCTTTTTTTTTTTAGGTACCAAGATCTGTTTCCAACCTGATTCAAAAACATTGAACACTTGTTTTCCTGACAGACTCCATGGCAGCATATGTATGGGTTTGTCCCGCCCTCTCCTCTCCTATAGGACCCCACTTCCATAAATCTTTGCTCCTCACCCATGGCCATGTTCCTTTTTTGTCCTCCTCCTATGGACCTAGTGCAAGTCTTATCAGGTTCCCGCATACAAGATGGTCCACGACTGAGGCCTGGAGAGCCTCTCTGGGAGATGTGAGGTGACGCACCGCTAGTCAATTCCATGGGTCCCCAGATAAAGGCGGGGTATTGGACACGGCAGATGGATGTGGTGCCGGGAGTGGCGAAGATGCGTCTCCTCATCAATTCCAGTGCTCCCCAGCTAAAAGTGGGCAGGATAGCCTGCTAACAGTGGATGGCCATGTAGCTCCCCAAAAGGACAATGCGGTCTCCAAGGCAGGCGGTCGTGTCAGTGCGGGGTCGGTAAGCAGTGCTCTCTGTGCCCTCTTTTTATCTTTGCCTTTCCCTGGCGCTAGTGGGTGGCTGGAGCACAGTACTGAACTCCAGGTTGCCGCTTCCTGGTCCACGGTCCCTCCGGCGCACTGCGCATGCATGAGCCAGCCTCAGAATGAGTCTTGGCTTCGCACGTGTGCAGTACGGCAAGATGGTAACACTCATGCATGCACTTGGGCATCACGGGGTTTCCGGCAGATGCGCAGTACGGCTGCAGTAACGTCATAGCTCCCACGGGCATGTTTAAACAGCTGTTAAAGCTGTTTTCTTTGGGAAATCCTGTGGGCTGAATGCCACAGCTTCCTCAAGTGCTGTGGTCCTCCGTGAAGGGCAGTACCTGCTCCCTCCTGCCGGTCTGCTGGGACTCTGCATGTCATGTTTTTTTTTCTACAGCTTGGTTGCCTTCACAGCTGAGCATGGATGTGTCACCGCCTCCTTGTGGCCAGCCCCTGTGCAGGAGGTACAGATGCACAGCTTTATCAACTTGATCCCCCACTGGCGCCTTTCTGTGGCTTTTAATTATTCCCTGTTCTGTGCTCCCTTTTTTTCAGCCTTTCTAGGTCTGATCACCACTATACGACACACGATGACGGAAGTGCTTCCAGGTCTTGACGCTCTTCTTCTAGATCCAGACACCACAGGTCTCCTTCCAGCTCCAGGCATCATAGGAGAAGTTATCATTCCTCCTCCTGGCATCACGTTAAGCGGTACTCCAGCCGCTCCAGCAGGGAAACTTACTGGAGGTGCGAACCTCAGGTTCCTTACAACAGGTCATTATATGAGTCCCATTTTGCATGGGCGACCAGTGGGAGAGAGAATGCCAGCCAGCAGGTAGAGGCTTTGGCTACATGGGCCGTTCAAGAGTCCCTGAAGGAAATTGGGACTAGTCGTGTCCACAGCCCATCGGTCAGAGTGTGCCCCCCTCCCAAAGATCCCCAAAAGGAATTGGAGCCTTCACCACCTAGTCACCTTTCATCCAGAGCCTCAGACAGTGAAGGGGAGAGTGAGGTTCCGTGTGTGGTCTTCAACTTTGCTTTGCTCTCACCCTTAGTCAAAGCAATCAAAGAGGCCTTGAAGTGGGAAGAAGCTGTGGAGTCTCCTGCTAAAGACAGAAAATTCTTTAAATATCTAAGAAAGGATCATCCAAACTTTCCATTTCTGTAGGAACTTGGGGAAATTTTCATCGAAGAGTGTCGATTAGAGGGCCTCCTTGCTGAACAAAGCAGCCAAGCTTTATCCATTCAAATTAGAATCGGCACATCTGATGGATGCAGCATTGAGGAGGCTAGCCAAGCACATTACCCTCCCTCTCAAGGATTCGGTGTCCTTCAAGGACAACCTGGAAAGAAGCATCAGTTCTGATCTCAAATGAATCTACACTTCTGCAGGGATGGCTTGCCTTAGTGGCCTTATCCAAAGCTATGGAAGTGTGGTCGGATAACGTGGATGTGGACCTCAGAGGGGTTCTGGAAGAGGTGGCCAGGAATTCAGCCATCCGGGAGCTGAGGTTGGCATCTGACTTTCTTGGGAAGGCCTTGATCAACCTTACTCATCTGCTGGCTTGCGTTATGCTCTTCTTGGTTACAGCCAAACGTGCTTTGTCGCTTCGGCCCTGGTTGGCCGATCCGGCCTCTAAACAGGCATGGTGCAAGATCCCCTTTTAGGGTTCCTCCCTGTTTGGGAACAAACTGAACAGCGCTATAGCCCGGGCCACAGGTGGGAGATCCAGTTGTCTACCCCAGGATCAGCGTCTGATAGGCCAGAAGAGGGCTCAGCCCAGAAGTCAAGGCTCGGACAAGTGAGGGACACCCGCCTCTACAAGATGGGCTGCAAAATTTAAGAGAAACTGGAGGAGAAGCCAGTCATCTTTTCAGAAGTCCCCCAAGGGTTGTGAGGACACAAAGTCCTTTTGAGATTGGGCCTGCTCAGGCAGGCAAGGTGGGGGCACACCTTTGCAATTTTTGTCATGTCTGGGTGGCTTCAATCCGAGCCGTCTGGGCCGTCAGCACGGTATCTTTAGGGCATGCTTGGGCATTCAAGAGCCCTCCTCATCTCAAGTTCACCCCTATGACCCTTCCGCATTCTGGAGAAAGGAGGAAAATCCTATTGTTAGGACTCTCTGCTGGCACAGGGTGCTGTCATGCCAGTTCTGGAGGGCGAAGAATTTCAGGGCATGTACTCACCCCTCTATTTGGTCCAGAAAAGAAAGAGGGCCTGGAGGCCGGTCATAGATCTCACATATCTAAACTCCTTTATCAGGAAGTAAAAATTCAAGATAGAGATGCTGTTCATAATTCAACAAGCAATTTAACTAGGTGACTGGCTCCTGTCTATAGATCTGAAGGATGCCTACTTTGCAAGAGATTTTCAGAGTTTCCTCCTATTTGCTGTGAACCAACGGCATCTCCAGTCTTCTCTTGTTGGAGGTCGTGACCCTGATCATAACCAGAGGCATTCACCTCCACCATTACCTAGATGACCTGCTCCTACTATCCCAGAACAGAGAATAGCTACTACAGCACAGGGCCCTTGTCATCTCAACCCTTCTTCAGGTGATTGCTGAATATGGAGAAGAGCCAGTTGGAGCCCACGCAGTCTCTAATATTCCTCGGGGCTCATTTCGACACAGTCAGCATCACCATCTCCCTGCCCGTGGAGAAGATTCCGTGATCTGGAGCTGAATCCTACCTTCCCTGTCCTCCTGTCATCTTCAGGCCCTCCAATGCCTGAAAATCATTGGAACCATGGTGTCCACAGCGCCGATAGTGAAGGGGGCACAGTGGAGAATAAAACTCTTCCAGAAAGGCTTTCTTCAATAGTGGAATCCAGGCAACATGGGCCAAGTCATTTATATCTCTGTCCATGAATGAAGGAGAGCCTTCCTTGGTGGCTACAGTGGAAGAATTTGCTCAACTGCCACTCAATTGTCCCCATCTCCTGGGTCACCATCAATACGGATGCCAGCAACTTCGGAAGGGGCGCTCTCTGCCAGTCAGAGATAGCTTCTGACAGATGGAGTGTTCCTTCTCAGGGGTTGGGGTCGAACATCCTGGAATTATGGTCTAGTTTTTGAGAGGGGGAGGTTGGAAGCCTTAGGCTGTCCTGCTGAAGTCATCCCTACCCTGATGAATGCCAGAAGACCAAGTACCAACAGGGTCTATGGAAGGGTCTGGTCTAAGTTCGTGGACTATATCTCAAACATGGGCAGATCCTTTAGTAATCAGGATGTCCTGGGATTCCTTCAGTCAGGCCTGGACCTGCCTCTGTTGGTCAGCACCCTCAGAATTCAAATGTCAGCCATCTCAGCCTTCACTGGGGTATCATGGGCTGACCACTCTCTGGTCCGGTAATTCTTCAAGAGGGCAATAAGGTTTAGGCCCCAGAGAAAACCGACATTCACAAAATTCTTCTCTGGAGGCGCTCCAGAATCGGCTGGTCCACCCATAGTGAGGGAACCCTCCATCAAGACGGCCTTTCTGGTGGCTGTTACATCAGTGAAAAGAGTCTCTGAAATCAGGAACCTTGGCTGCAAAGAACCGTGTTTGACATTTTTCCAGAATCAAGTGGTCCTCTTCCCTATGCTAGGTTCTAATCCTAAAGTGACCTCGGTCTTCCACGTGAACCAGGAGATTGGCACTGTTTAGAGCCTCAGGAGTCGATGACGTTCACCCCCTGGATGTAGGTGAGACCTTAAGGCTGCACTTGCAGGCAACAGCATCCTTTTCCATGGGAAGAGTAAAGGAGACCGGGCTTCTCCCAGGTCAATCGCAGCCTGGATTGTCCAGGCCACCCAAAGAGCTAAGGGCTTGGTGCCTCCAGAGGAGGTGTCTGCACACTCAACCAGTAGTGTGGCTATGTCCTGGGAGGCTTCCCGGCATGTCGCCCTTGAGAGGATCTGTAGAACCTGCCTCCTTATCCTCTGTTAATTTTGGTTTGAAAGTCGGTTGATGGGACAAATTAAAGTCTTTGTTTTAGTAACTGCCACCTGTGTGTGTATGGCTAGTTATTTCCCATATGCATGCTGCCATGGAGTCTGTCAGGAAAACGGAAAAGTTCCTATCAAATACTTACCATAATTTTCCTTTCCTGATGGACTCCATGGCAGCAGGAGTACCTTCCCAATGCCATGAGCAGGCTAGTTATGGAACACAGCCTCTGGCGAGGAGCAAGGATTTATGGGAGTGAGGTCCTATAGGAGAGGAGAGGGCAGGACTAACCCATATGTATGCTGCCATGGAGTCCATCAGAAAAGAAAAATTACAGTAAGTATTTGATAGGAAATTTTCCATTTTTTATGTATGAAACATCAAATACTAATGGAACAAGTACCGTATTTTTCGCTCCATAAGATGCACTTTTTTCCCCCGAAAAAAAAAATGGGGGAAAATGCTTGCGCGTCTTATGAAGTGAATATGGAGTGGCCGGACCTGTATTCCCACAACCGCCATGTTAGAATACCGGTCCGGCCACTCGGCTCTACTGTGCAGAAGAACCTGCTCCTCGGTCCTACCAGTTCCTTGGTCCAGCGGTGTCCTGCTTTCACCGGCTGTCTTCTCTCCCCGGCACCGGCATCTTCAGTGTGGGTACCCGGCTGTGACAGCTAGCGGCTTCAAAGCCAGGTGCCCACTGCACATGCATGAGAAGTGCTGCCCTTTATGAATGGCCACCTGTAGTCTTCTGGAACTGTCTCGTATTCCACAAGACTACGGAAGTGGAGCGGGTACCTGTCAAATTTGGGTACCCGCCTCCCCAGCTCCCCAAAGGTCTGCAGTCTCTGGTCATCTCCTGTACTATGTCCGCAGTCTCTGGTCATCTCCTGTACTATGTCCGCAGTCTCTGGTCGTCTCCTGTACTATGTCCGTAGCCTCTGGTCATCTCCTGTACTATGTCAGCAGCCTCTGGTCATCTCCTGTAGTATGTCCGCAGCCTCTGGTCATCTCCTGTACTATGTCCGCAGTCTCTGGCCATCTCCTGTACTATGTCAGCAGCCTCTGGTCATCTCCTGTAGTATGTCCGCAGTCTCTGGTCATCTCCTGTACTATGTCTGCAGTCATAGTACATGGTCATCATTCTATTTTATTTTTCTATTATAAAGTAAATTCTGCCTACTCTTATCCAAAGCTAATTTTTACACCTCTCGGTCACCCACAGTGGGTAACCCCTTTCTCTCAATCGATTATGTACAGTTATACATTCCAAATCAAGTGATTCTTTTTTTGAATTTCTAATTGCAAGGGTGAACTTACCATGATAGCATGATAGCTTTGTGTAGAATTTCCTGCACTTAACGTATAAAATATTTTAGTATGAACACAACTTGTGGTGGCATTCCCCTCTAATGTCAAGGAAATTGATAGCATTCTTATTATATTCATAAAAGAAATGTAAGTTTAAATTAAACACGTGAACATGTTTTCATTTCATTTCGGATGCATTAGTTTATTGAAGAATTTAATTTTCATTATGTTGAACCGATTTGTTTTCAGAATATGTTTTGTATCTTCGGCAACTGTTTTGTATATTCGTTGGTCTGGGTATATTCAAAAAAATGTTGCAGTTTTCCTGGTAGATTGCTATACATTCAATATATTATTGAATCTGGTGAATTCATATTGGAGGGAATCAATTTTTTTGGACGCTAGTCCAACCCACCACGAGAAGTGGCATGAGCTGATTCTACAAAATCGACTGGCATCCTGTGCATTAAATTTAATGAATAAAACAAATTTTGGATTCATTCGTTATCCGAATTTAAATTAGGAAACAAATTTGAAAAGTGGATTAATTTCCCCATGGGCTCGAACTACTATCACATCATGTGACATCATCTAAATGAAACTAATGCATTTTTTAATTTCATTATAACTTTTTTCGGATACCTTGTTATTTGCTGCTATGTCTATTCAGAGATTCGTATACATCTGACTCTCCAAAAATTACATTTTCATCCAAAAAACGAATCGTAATGAAATGAAACACATATGTCTAGTTTAAATCATTGCTCTTGCAATACTGTAAAAACTCCTTTAAACACATATGGCTGTCATTCCAGACTAGCAGCAGAATAACAATGAATCTGCTGTAGCAGTTGACTGATTCTTCAAATGGATTACCATCAGAAAAAATGCAGAGTTCATATTTACAACATTAATTCCACTAATACCTTTTACATTGTGTTGATACATCTCTATTATATAACACTATACTTCATTAGTAATTACACTAGAAAATAGGTTTGTCACACTCGCCTGTTCTGCACTCCAGCATTAGGATGTTATCTTAAAGCAGTGTTTCTCAACTCCAGTCCTCATGGACCCCCAACAGGTCATGTTTTCAGGATTTCCCTCAGATGAAACAGCTGTGGTAATTACTAAGGCAGTGAAACTGATCAAATCACCTGTGCAAAATAATGGAAATCCTGAAAACATGACCTGTTGGGGGTCCATGAGGACTGGAGTTGAGAAACACTGTCTTAAAGGGATAGCGTGCGGGTTTCTCAGGATTTGAGCAATGTGTTCACATGCTAGCTGTTGGATCCCCTGTGTTACCTTTCAATGTTTCAAGTGTTTCCTATGCCTCCCAATGCTGTTCTATGACTTGTAGGGTTGATTTACTAAAAGCAAATAGATCACTTTTGCAAGTGCAATTACACTCTGCAAGTACAATTGCTCCAGAGCTTAGTAAGGGGAAATGGGAGCTCTGCTGACTTCCATCATCCAATCATGTGCAAGCAAACCATGTTGTTTTCCTTCCTTGCATGTGATTGGGTATTGCTAACAAAGTGAAGTTTTACCTAATTTACTGTGCTCTGGAGTAACTGCACTAGAAAATAAGGTAATTGGAGCTCCTACTAGTTAATTTGGATCATCACAACTGCACATTTTCCATTCCAAAGAGAACTATGCTTCTACGTTGCTCACCACTGGTCTGATTGACAGCAAATCTCAGAGGGATCAGACAAGTGTCATTTATACCAGCGGTGGGCAGTCAAGAGAGAGGTGTTTCATAATTTCAACAGTAATTGATAATTGAGTAATCTGCAAAAAAAAAACAACTACCTGGTTTGATTACTAAGGGTGTCCTGTTTCTCCAGGACAAGCTCATACTACTCATCACACTATGTGCATAGTACCGGGAGGTATTGCCACATTCCTCTTACAGCCCAGACGTCGCTCCGAGTGATTTCCACCAATTTAGACCCCTAAAAGAGTTCCTTGGAGGTCAGCATTTCAGCACTATGAAGCAGGCTGTCCTAGGATGGTTCAGGCGCACTGACAAATATTTATATGCTGAAGCTCTCCAGGCATTAGTTAAATGCTGGGATAATTGTATAAATGTAGCAGGGGAGTATGTAGAAAAATGAATGCAGTTTCCAGTCTTTGAAATTTGATCTTTTAATATATAAACTCAAAAGTCCCGGTTTGATTATAATGCACCTCATATAATAGAGTTAAAAAAGTGTGGAAACTTTTTGAAGAACCCTCATATATATCAAATACAAATATAAGTGCACATGCACAGCAAATCACAAATTAAAGTGCAGGTACTAGTGCAAGGTTCATGAGGTTTCCACCTCATATAAACAGTTTGTGACATTTAACAATTCATGTATTAGCTCAAGGTGTCTAAACACTTCAGCTTCCTGGTGTAAAAACCATGCTTCCATCACCATGCACCACCATTAAAGGAGCCTCTTACCAGATGGTGTAGACCAGGGGTGGGCAAACTTTTTGACTTGAGGGCCGCAATGGGTTCATATATTGGACCCGGGGGCCGGACCAAGAGTAGATGAATGATGCGTATGTGTCATCCATAGTAAGTATAGTAATATTCCCCCATAGTAAGCATAGTAATTAATCCCCCATATAGTAATTCATCCCCCATAGTAATTCATCCCCCATAGTAATTCATCCCCCATATAGTAATTCATCCCCCATAGTAATTCATCCCCCATAGTAATTCATTCCCCATATAGTAATTCATCCCCCATAGTAATTCATCCCCCATAGTAATTCATCCCCCATATAGTAATTCATCCCCCATATAGTAATTCATCCCCCATCCCCCATATAGTAATTCATCCCCCATATAGTAATTCATCCCCCATATAGTAATTCATCCCCCATACAGTAATTCATCCCCCATAGTAATTCATCCCCCATATAGTAATTTATCCCCCATAGTAATTCATCCCCCATATAGTAATTCATCCCCCATAGTAATTCATCCCCCATATAGTAATTCATCCCCCATAGTAATTTATCCCCATAGTAATTCATCCCCCATAGTAATTCATCCCCCATATAGTAATTCATCCCCCATAGTAATTAATCCCCCATATAGTAATTCATCCCCCATATAGTAATTCATCCCCCATAGTAATTCATCCCCCCTATAGTAATTCATCCCCCATAGTAATTCATCCCCCCTATAGTAATTCATCCCCCCTATAGTAATTCATCCCCCCCATAGTAATTCATCCCCCCCATAGTAATTCATCCCCCATATAGTAATTCATCCCCCCTATAGTAATTCATCCCCCCTATAGTAATTCATCCCCCATAGTAATTCATCCCCCATATAGTAATTCATCCCCCATAGTAATTCATCCCCCCTATAGTAATTCATCCCCCATAGTAATTCATCCCCCCTATAGTAATTCATCCCCCCTATAGTAATTCATCCCCCCCATAGTAATTCATCCCCCCCATAGTAATTCATCCCCCATATAGTAATTCATCCCCCCTATAGTAATTCATCCCCCCTATAGTAATTCATCCCCCATAGTAATTCATCCCCCATAGTAATTCATCCCCCATATAGTAATTCATCCCCCATATAGTAATTCATCCCCCCTATAGTTATAGATCCCCCATATAGTAATTCATTCCCCATATAGTAATTCATCCCCCATATAGTAATTCATCCCCCCTATAGTAATTCATTCCCCATAGTAATTCATCCCCCCTATAGTAATTCATCCCCCATATAGTAATTCATCCCCCATATAGTAATACATCCCCCATATAGTAATTCATTCCCCATATAGTAATTCATCCCCCTGTAGTAATTCATTCCCCATAGTAATTCATCCCCCCTATAGTAATTCATCCCCCTGTAGTAATTCATTCCCCATAGTAATTCATCCCCCCTATAGTAATTCATCCCCCATATAGTAATTCATCCCCCATATAGTAATTCATTCCCCATAGTAATTCATCCCCCATAGTAATTCATCCCCCATAGTAATTCATTCCCCATAGTAATTCATCCCCCATAGTAATTCATCCCCCATATAGTAATTCATCCCCCATAGTAATTCATCCCCCATATAGTAATTCATCCCTCATATAGTAATTCATCCCCCCTAGAGTAATTCATTCCCCATATTAATTCATCCCCCATATTAAGTTCCCAAGTCCCCCCTGTGTCAATTCACTTACCTTTGCTCCGCGCGTTCCTCTCGCCGTGTTCCCGCGCCGTTCCGGTGTAGCATGAAAATCTGTCTCCTATGAGGATCTGTCCCCCTCGACGTATCTGCGCATGTGCCAGTTTCAGGCATTAGCAGCCGATCGGCGATCTCCGGCACATGCGCAGATACGTCGAGGGGGACAGATCCTCATAGGAGACAGATTTTCATGCTACACCGGTCTTCAGGGCGGACTGTGAGAGGAGCCTAGCGGGAGCCTAGCTCCGCGGGCCGGATTAAAAGGTCCGCCGGGCCGTATACGGCCCGCGGGCCGTAGTTTGCCCATTGCTGGTGTAGACCATTAAATTATAAATGGTCAATAGAGCTCAAATGTATTTAACATAACAAGGTTTCCCATCATATGTTACGTCTCCAGCATGGATCCCCTCCTCCACCATCAATCGTTATCATCAAAATGAACAGTATAGATCCACTGTGAAGTATGTAAAAACTCAGCTGTTATTATAAACACGCCAATTTTGCTAACAAAAACAGAATAAAACAAAGTTAAAACACTGCTTATAGTTTTTCCAATGCAGTAGGTCGAACAATCACATCAGACTCCGGCCAGCAGGTGTGCATGATCACATCACATTGTCGCCACACCCTATGGGTTTCATCGGAAATGGTGTTGTGGGGGGACTGGCTAGATGCCATACACCACACAGGAAGTATATATACACTAGGCATACTAGGCAAACGCAAAAGGGAACAGGCG